ACCACATGTGCCAGTAGTTCCCAGTATGTCCCAGGAGTATATACAGTCCTAGGTATATATTCAAAAGAACTGAAAATAAATGTCTCCACAAAAGCCTGCACACGAATGTTCACAGCAACATTATTCATAATAGCCAAAAAGTGGAAACAACCCAAATGCTCATCAACTGATGAATAAACAAAACACGACATGTTTATCCCCAAACAATGGAATATTATTTGGCCATAAGAAGGAATGAAGTACTGATAAATGCTACGATACAGATGAATCCTGAAAACATTATGCTATGTGAAAGAAGCCATGTTTTGTAATCACAAAAGTCCACATATTGTATGATTCCACTTATGTGAAATGTCCAGAATAGGCAGATTCATTGAGAGAAAGTCGATTAGTGGTTGTTAGGGGCTAGGAAAAGGGGAGTGACTGCTAATGAGTACAGGTTTTTTTCAATTGACAAAAACGTAATTAAGTAATAATGATGGCAGCACAATTCTGAATATACTAAACACCACTGAATTTTATCTCAAAAACGTTGTAACAAATACACATACACACAAAGCAACAACTCTCAGAAGTATAGGGACATCAACAATTTTAGATGGTGATTTTAACTTACTTTTCTCTGAAACTAATTGATCAAGAAGAAAAAACTAATTACAGAAGATACGAGTAAGCTCAAACTAGCAAATATACAGACAACTTTACATACTATGAAAAATATACATGCTTTTCAAATACACAAGCAGCTTTTACATAAACCAAGCATGTGCTGGCCACAAAGTCAACAATTTCTCCCGCAAACAAACATCATACAATCTATGTTTTTGGTCACAACACAATAAAACTAGGAATCTACAACAACAAAAATATCTTTAAAAAAAAAAATCTACCACCCATCTAGAAATTAAAAGTCATAGCCCTAAATCCTCAGGTTAAAGAAGAAATCATAAAGGAAATGACAAAATAATTAGAAAAGTGCAACAACAAAAACACTACACAACAAAACTTGTGAGACACAACTGAAACAGTAGTCAAAAAAGAGTATAAATTTATATGTATTTATAGGAAAATAAGAAAGATTAAAGTTCAACTCAAAAAGTTAAAAAAAGACCTATAGAATAACTCAAAGAAACAAAGGAAACGATATGGGCAGAAATCAATCAAACAGAGTATAAATCCACAAAATAACAAAAGAAGAACAAAATCAAAAGCTGGTTCTTTGAAAAGACTGGTAAGACAGACAAACCTCTGGCAAGATTAATCAAGAAAAGAGAGGAGATACAAGCGACAACAGATGAAAGATTTAAAAAATATCATAATACTGTACTATTTGTAAGTTTATAATATTACATTATAAAATAACACGTTAATAAATCTGAAAATCTAGGCACAATGGGTATTTTCTTAAAATTGGTTTAAGAACTTGAGTAGACCAATAACCACAAAGACATCCTCTCCCAAAGAGCCCTAAACCCTGACAGTTTTATAAGCTGAATTCTACCAAATTGCAAGGAGCAAATAATCCCTATTTTCTACAAATTGTTACAGATAATAGAAAACTAAGGGGAAAACTCCCAGCTTGTTTTATGAGGCTAATATTTTGATTTCAAAACTAGATAAGAGGGGCCAAGGCAGCCCTGTGGCTGAGTGGTTAAGTGTGCACGCTCTGCTACGGCGGCCCAGGGTTTCACCGGTTCGGATCCTGGGCGCGAACTCAGGCCATGCTGAGGCGGTGTCCCACATGCCACAACTAGATAGATCTACACTGAAAATATACAACTATGTACTGGGGGCTTTGGGGAAAAGAAGGAAAAATAAAATCTTTTTTTTTTAAAGATTGGCACCTGAGCTAACAACTGTTGCTAATCTATTCTTCTTTTTCTTTCTGCTTTTTCTCCCCAAACTCCCCCAGTACATAGTTGGATATTTTAGCTGTGGGTCCTTCTAATTGTGGCACGTGGGATGCGGCCTCAACGTGGCCTGATGAGTGGTGCCACATCCGCGCCCAGGATCCGAACCAGTGAAACCCTGGGCCGCCGCAGCGGAGTGCGTGAACTTAACCACTCAGCCACGTGGCCAGCCCTGGAAAAATAAAATCTTAAAAAAAAAAACGAGATAAGAATAGGTAATTCTGTGTTTTCTTAGATTCTATATTTGAATATTTAGTAACCATCGATCACAGAGCCATTTATATTAACTATATTTTCTGTATTCTTGATGCTCTGGCACTTTGTGGCCTCACTGACCAAGGAGAGACTGTCCATCCCAGAGCTAGCCAATTCTTGAGAGACAGCAAAAGGCAAGCCCAGGAGTATATCGTTCATATGTAAACTAATCAAGCTAGAGCCCATACGCTGAACCACCTCCATTATCTGGTTCTTACACTATAGGAGGCAATATCCCTCTGCCCCAATCACTGAGGGCCAGGTACTAGACAAGTGGAGACCACCCCTACAGTCCAGAGCCTGCCAACATTCAAACTAGCCAGTTCTAAACTATTTCCCTGACCTGCCTTGCCTTTCCCTTTGCTCCTGATTCTGCCTCTTGACCAAAACCTGGTGCTTCCACTCTGGGTCTGTGTGGAGTGGCATGCTCCTGTCTTTCGGAAACTGTAAGCAGTAATAACCTTTCAATGGCAATGACCTCACCAAGTCACTCAGTCACTTCCGTAAATTAAAATTTACAGGTACAATACTATTTTTTGAGACAATAAATAAGCTCATTTCATTTATAAGCATAGATGTTTAAAAAGCTTACATGAAGAATTAGTGAATTGAATCTATTAGTATATTAAAAATTAATATATCCCATTCAAAAACAATTTAAACAAGAAATTCAAGACTTGCTTAACAATTGAGAATATACTGATGTAATAAATCACATTAAGGGACCATAGGAGAAAAATGACTATCACAATAGATGCAGAAAAGGCATTTGATAAAGTTTTATTATCTGTTTATGATTAAAAATTTCCAGTAAACTATGAACAGAAAGAAACTTCCTTAACTTGATAAAGCCTATATACTAAAAGCTAATAATAAGCATGAAACTTAAAGGGAAAACTTCACAAGCATTCCATTTAAGATACAGACAATAAAGGAAGCTCACTGAGACTCTGTTCAACCATACTACTGGAGGACTTGGCTAATGAAACAGGAGGAAAACAGAGGTATAAGGGTTAGAAGAGATGAAGCAGATTCATTATTACAGTAAATGAATTTAGAAAGACTGCCAGATACAAAATCAACTTACAAAATCAATAAGCATTGTTCTATACCAGAATAGTCAACTGGAAAAGATACTTAAAAATAACGTACCATTCACAATAGCTATAAAAACTATGTAGTATCTAGGAATTAACTTAAGGCATAGAACATTAATAGGGTAAAAAATTACCTCATAAAAAGTCTAAATGAATTGAGAACTAAAACACATTTATTGGGAGTTCCTTAAAGATTAATCTATAGGGGGCTGGCGCCATGGCTGAGTGGTTACATTCATGTGCTCTACTGCGGTGGCCCAGGGTTTCGCCGGTTCAGACCCTGGGTGTGGACATGGCACCACTCATCAAGCCATGCTGAGGAGGCGTCCCACATGCCACAACTAGAAGAACCTAAAACTAGAATATGCAACTACATAGTTGGGGGCTCAGGGGAGAAGAGAGAGGAAAAAAAAAAAAAAAGATTGGCAACAGATGTTAGCTTAGGTGCCAACCTTTTTAAAAAAAAGAAAAAGAAAGAAAAGGATTAATCTATAAATCCATGGAAGTTCCATTACAAATCGGGAGAGTTTTGTTTTAGTTTTCAAGGAATTTCACAAACTTACTCTAAAATATATATGTAAGAATAAAGGTCTAAAACTGGTTCAGTCAAGTTTGAAAGAGAAGTATAGAAAGTAGGGGACTCACCCTACCAGCTAAAAATCTACTACTAAGTAATAATAATTAAAACTGCAGTATTGAAACAGCAACATATAACAATAAAACAAGAATTTAGCAGCAGATTCATACATATTTGGGAATTTGACATTATAAAGATGACCCACAAATCAGTAGGAAATGCAAGCACTAGTTACAGATAGCACTGGTTATAGATGGCACTGGGAAAACTAGTCCATTCTAAGAAAAATAATGTCGGATCCCTACCTCACAATATATACAGAAGTGAACTCAACATGGAAAGAGCTATATGTAACATAGAAGAAAAGATAAATCTAATAGAAAAAAAATAGGAGAATATATTAGTAGCCTCAGGGTGGTGAAGACCTTCCTAAATAAGATCTCTAAAGCACAAACCATACAGGGGAAAAATGACTGATTTGACTACATTACAAACAGAATTTACGCTGTATAAAGTACACTACATTATAGGCAACTCTTAAGCTGCAATAACAAACTAGCTCTCAAATACTGCACTTAACATTTATTTCTCTCTTAGAAACTGTTCCAAAGGGGCAATTGAGTTTGGCAAGACAGTTCTCTGTTTCACATGGTCATTCAGAAACCCAAGCTCTTTTCAGCTTGTTGCTCTGCCAATTGCTAGGGTATGGAAAGTTGGGTCAGGGCCTGAAATAACAAACCCATCCATGTTCCAACTTACAAGGATAAAAGAAGTCCATATAAAAAATTTTCTTTTAAGCTATTGAGGTTCAACTACGCATAATACTCTTGCCCATATTTGATTGGCAATATTAGTCACACGCTTCAATTAACTCATGGAAGTAAAAGATGAACTCTCTAACTGAGCAGACATGGGCCCAGCTTAAATTCTGTTACTACAGAAGGGAAGAACAGATGTAGGTGAACTACAGGCATACCTCAGAGATCCTGGAGGTTCTTTCCAGACCACCACAGTAAAGTGATATCGTAGTAAAGTGAGTCACATGAATGTTTTTGGTTTCCCAGTGCATATAAAAGTTATGTTACACTATATGGTAGTCTGTTAAGGGTGCAGCAGCATTAGGTCTAAAAAAGCAATGTCTATGCCTTAATTAAAAAATACCTGATTGCTGAAAAATGCTAACCATCATCTGAGCCTTCAGCAAGTCGTAGTCTTTTTGTTAATGGAGAGTCCTGCCTCCATGTTGATGTCTGCTTGCTGAGTGATCAGGGTGGTGGTTGCTGAAGGTTGCGGTGGCTGTGGCAATTTTGTACAATCAGTGAAGTTTGCCACATCGACTGACTCTTCCTTTCACGCGTGGTTTCTAGCACACAATGCTGACGGCATTTTACCCACAGTAGAACTGCTTTCAAAATTGGAATCAATCCTCTAAAACCCTACCACTGCTTTATCAACTAAGTTTATGTAATACTCTAAATCCTGTGTCGTCATGTCAACAATCTTCACAACATCTTCACCAGCAGTAGATTTTGTCTCAAGAAACCATTTCCTTTGATCATCCATATGAAGCAACTCCTCATCATTGAGTTTTATCTGAGATTGAGGCAACTCTGTCAGATCTTCAGGCTCCACTCCTAATTCTCGTTGTCCTGCTATTTCCACCACACCTGCAGTTAGTTCCTCCACTGAAGTCTCGAACCCCTCAAAGTCATCCATGAGGGTTGGAATCAACTTCTTCCAAACTCCTGTTAATGTTGATATTTTGACTTCTTCCCATGAATCACAAATGTGCTTAACGGCATCTAGCGTGCTGAATTCTTTCTAGAAGTTTTTCAATTTACTCTGTCCAGATCCGTCAGAGGAATCACTACCTATGGCAGCGACAGCTTTATGAAATGTTTTTCTTGATTAATAACAAGACTTAAAAGTCAGAATTGCTCCTTGATCCATGAGGTGTGCAGAATGGATGTTGTGTCAGCAGACACGCAAACAGCATTAGTCTGGTTGTACATCTCTGTTAGAGCTCTTGGGTGACCAGGTGCATTGTTAATGAGCAGCCATATTCTGAAAGGAGTCTTTTTTTCTGAGCAGGAGGTCTCAAAGGTGGGCTTAAAATATTCCGCAAACCATACTGTAAACAGTTGTGCTGTCATCCAGGCTTTGTTCTTCCATTTACAGAGCACAGGCAGAGGGGATTTACACAGTTTTTAAGGGCCCTAGGATTTTCAGAGTGGTAAATGAGCACTGGCTGCATGAGCCCCTAGTAAGAGAGTCAGGCTGCCCTTTGAAGCTTTGAAGCCAGGCATTGACTTCTCTCTAGCTTATGAAAGTCCTAGGTGGCGTCTTCCAATATAAGGCTGTGTGGTCAACAATAAAAAGCTCTCATTAGCATAGCCACCTTCATCAATTATCTTAGCTAGATCTTCTGGATAACGTGCTCTAGCTTCTACGTCAGCACTTGCTGCTTCACACCTTGCACTTTTATGTTTTGGAAATGACTTCTTTCCCTAAACCTCAGGAACCAACCTCTCCTAGCTTCAGACTTTTCTGCAGCTTCCTCAGCTCTGTCAGCCTTCATAGAATTGAAGAGAATTGGGGCCTCGCTCTGGATTAGGCTTTGGCTTAAGGGAATGTTGTGACTGGTTTGATCTTCTATCCAGACCACTAAAACTTTCTCCGTATCAGCAATAAGGCTGCTTTACTTTCTTATCATTCGTGTGTTCCCGGGAGCAGCACTTTTAATGTCCTTCAAGAACTTTTCCTTTGCTTTGACAACTTTGGCTAACAGACACAAGAGGCCTAGCTTTGGGCCTATCTTGACTTTCGACATGCCTTCTTCACTAAGCTTAATCCTTTTGGCTTTGATTTAAAGTGAGATATGTGTGACTCCTTTCACTTGAACATTTAGAGGCCATTGTAGGGTTATTAGTTGGCCTAATTTCAATATTGTTGTGGCTCAAGGAATAGATGCGCCTGACGAGAGGGGGCGAGACAGAAGAACGGCCAGTCTGTGGAGCAGTCAGAACACACACATTTATCAATTAAGTTCGCTGTCTTATATGGGTGCAGTTTGTGGCACCCCAAAACAATTACAATAGCAACATCAAAGATCACCCATCACATTGCGGCCGGCCCGGCGGCCAAGTGGTTAAGTTCACGTGCTCCGCTGCGGCGGCCCAGGGTTCGGATCCTGGGCGCGGACATGGCACTGCTTGTCAGGTCACGTTGAGGCGGCGTCCCACATGCCACAACTAAAAGGACCCACAACTAAGATACACAACCATGTACGGGGGGGTTTGGGGAGACAAAGCAGAAAAAAAAAATTGGCAACAGTTGTTAGCTCAGGTGCCAATCTTAAAAAAAAAAGAGCACCCATCACAGACCTCCACCATATAATAACAATGATAAAGTTAGAAACATTGCAAGAATTACCAAAATGTTACACAGAGACACAAAGTGAGCAAATGCTGGTGGAAAAATGGCACTGAGAGATTTGCTCCACACAGTGTTGCCACAAACCTTAAACCTGTAAAAAATACAGTATCAGTGAAGCACAATAAAATGAAGTATGCCTGTATTAGCAGTCTTCACCATAGGTACCACAAAAAAAGGTAAGGGAGAGAGGGGCCTGCCCAGTGGCGTAGTGGTCAAGTTTGTGCGCTCTGCTTTGGCAACCTGGAGTTCACAGGTTTGGATTCCAGGCACAGACCTACATACAGCTCATCAAGCTATGGTATGGTGGCGTCCCACATACAAAAATTAGAGGAAGACTGGCAACAGATATTAGTTCAGGGACAATCTTCCTCACCAAATAAATAAATAAATAAAATAACTGAGATTTTCAATATCTAAAGCCAATACGTATTAATATTTAAAATATACAAGGAACTCTTATAAATGATAAAAGAGAGACAGATAGGAAATACAATTGAAAAGAGGGCAGTGGATAAGAATGAGAAATTTAAGGAATAGTAAGAAGGAATGCCTAATAAATACATGAAGAGATACTGAACTTCTTTAATAATCAATGAATTGCAAAGTGAAACAACCAAGAATGGAAAAAAATCAAAGTGCTGATGAGAAGATGGAGAAACAGTGACCACCAATGAAATACAATGGAATGTACACTGGTACAGTCATTCCAGAAAGCAATCTGTCAGTACTTTCTTACTGTGTACATATATGGAATCCCACTCCTGGATAAATACTCCCAAAGAAACTCTTTAGTTTCTATTGAGATGTGTGAAAACGTTTTTTAGTGTTGTGGTAGCAGGGAACCGACGCATAACTTAAATGTTTATCTCAGAGGGAATGGGATAAAATACAGTTGACATATATGCTGCAGTTAGAACCAACTAAGGATGTACATTATAATGTAGTGTTGACTGAAAAACAACTGAGATCTGTAATACAATAATATTTATATATATATAAAAACATATACACTCAAAACAACACAATATAAAGGATATATACATAATTCAAGCATATATATCAAACACATCAGAGTATGTTTAAAGGGGAATGAGAGAGGGGATCAAGGATGAAGAGGAAAACTAATAAAACAAGAAAAGAGCCTTGTGCAGCCTGATAATTTGAGTGTGCCTTGAAATGAGGAGTATGACTAACAATTCTCTGTATGTTACAAAAAAGAAGTTTATTGCATGTGTAACAGTTATTTCCATTGTCAAAGAGATGTCACAGATCCAGAGAGAAACAAACACAGAGAGAAAAATGAAAATGTCAGGAGGATGCAGTTCTGAAATAACAATCTCATCTGTTTCATGTTGACAATTTCTCTGTGATAACAAGACATAGCAAAAAGTGGGAGAAGCATAAAAGGAGTGTTAAAAGGAGGGTAATTCTAGATTGCTTATAAGGAAAAGAGTACGGCTCTTTAACAAATACAGTGCAAGATATGGACTGAAGGAAAAAAATTCAGAATATGGTTTTCAATATCCTATGGCACATCAGTCAAAAAGAGTGGCAGAAAAGCATTTTCTAAGAGTTAGTGAAAACATATTTACCATAATTAATGACACCTCTTCCAATTACTGCTTAATTCCCCAATAAAAGGAAAATTACATTTTATTCTACTTAGAAAGACACACTTATTTTAAAGGAAGATCATTAACCATGTTGGTAACAACCAGTACACTTATAATCAACAGTCAAAGGTCTTGTAAATCCTCCTCACACAGGCTGAATTTTAATGAAATACACTTGGTAGCGTATTTTCTTTCAAAAGACAAGCAAGAGTTTGGCACCTAATATATAATCATAATGACCAAGTCAGGTGTGCAGCATCCCCAGTACAGACTTTATTAGAGTTCAGTTATAAATACACAATCTCTTGACAGTGAAGATGTAGTTCTTGCAGATAAAGCCCAAAGGCAGGAAATGAATCTCCTCACAAATGCTCCTTCTTATCTTTAAAGTAACCTCAAATTATTACTAAACTAATAAAGTAATTTTGTTTCTGGAAGTGATCTGATCTATTTTATTTTCAGCTTTTGATAAATCCAAGAATGAGATGGGGAATTATTACTTTTTGTCTGACTATACATACTGAAACAGAACATGAAAATATAGGAAAAAAATTTCTTTAATGATTTTTATGGTAAAGTTGGAATAGGCAATATCAAAGCTTGTCAGCATATGAAGATGATGTGCATGGTTATGGAAAAACAGAAAGCTAATTTTGTTATTTAACAGCAAATTTGGAAGTAAAGCTTTTACAATCTTCTAGTTACAAATTGTCAGTTAACAAGAATGAGTCAAAAGGGTACAATGAGACTGTATACAAATCAAACAATAATAAATTCAAAAATATAATTATGGGGGCCAGCGCAGTGGCACAGCGGTTAAGTTTGAACGTTTCGCTTCGGTGGCCCAGGGTTTGCTGGTTCAGATCCTGGGTGCAGACATGGCAAGGCTTGGCAAGCCATGCTGTGGTAGGTGTCCCAAATATAAAGTAGAGGAAGATGGGCACGGATGTTAGCTCAGGGCCAGTCTTCCTCAGCAAAAAGAGGAAGCTTGGCAGTAGATGTTAGTTCAGGGCTAATCTTCCTCAAAAAAAAAAAATTATGGTTATTTCTGCCTTCTTTGTGGAATTTTTCTAATATAATGGTTCTTAGCTAAAGGTCACAACCCAAAGTGGAGATCAAGATTCTGTTAAAAAGTCACAAAAAAGCCAGGCTATCAAATATAACTGTCAAACACAAAGTGTGATGGAGACAGCACAAGAAACTTTCAGATGACTAACGATTAATGATGATAGTTATTGCACACAGAGAGGGTATTAACTTTATTGTAGCAATATAGCTACCATTTATTACACTTCTACTCTGTGCCATGCACTATACTAGCACCTAATATATACCATCTCTAATCCTTAAAATAAACATTTAGTAGATAACATTAAAAAATAGAGATTTTTGTTTTTAAATGTGGAACTGAAACTAAGAGAGATTAAACAATTTGCCTAAGATCTTAAAACTAGGAAAAAAATGCAAAGCTTCTGGTTTAAAATGGCAAATTAATACATGCTGCAGCCTCCTCCTCCCCCTCCTAATCCAAACCCTCAGAATGACATAAAAGAAATGCACAATCAAGCTAGAAAACAAGAAAAGGTACCTTCAATGGACTAGAACCTTGAGAAAGATAGAAGGCAAGAAACCAAACTGCCCACAGAGATTGAATGCTGGAAAAGGTGGGAATGGTTCCCAGGGCGCTACATGTTCTGAGGTAAGGGATCCAAAGAGCAGAAGATGACAGAGAAGATAGATTAACTGGGGTTTTTGCATTGGAAGCAGCAACAAAGGTAGATCCTTACATACTACCTGGTTTGGGAAAAGCAAATAGAGATTTCATTTCTGCCCTTAGTTGGAAACAGTGAATACAGGAGCTTGAGTTAGTCGGTAAAGTTTTAGAATACCAAGAATAAAGAGAAAAATCCTAACAACATCTGGTGAAGGAAGTTGGGAGTGCAGATTACTTACAAAGAATCAGACTGATACCACATACTTCCATTTGGAAACAGTGGATATAAAGGAAAAGTATTATTTTAAGTTCCGAAGGAAAATAATTTGAACTTGGAATTCTAGATGTAGTGAAACTATCTTTGTAAAGATATCTTTGTATTTTGTAAAGAGAAAATAAAGACATCTGCAGATCTGCAAGGATTCAAAGATTATCACACACAGATACTCTCGAAAAGAATTACTCAAGGATATGCTAATACAAGTACAAGACAAAGATGTAGGATGTGGAAATCAACAGTTAGCAAAGAAAGCAATAAAACTAATTGATAAATCTAAATAAGTATCAATTGTTAAAAAAATAATACTTGCGACTAAAATCACAGATGCAATCAACATAAGATAGCAGAGAAAGAGGAAAAAAGAAAAAGTGGAGAGAAGTAAAAACATGCTAAAGTTCTTGACTTGTCTAAGAGAGGATGTGAATATTTTAAACACTATTAGAATAATTTAAGTTTTAATTATTGTATTGAAATTTTTCGAGTAAACATTAACACAATAGAACGTAAAACTCCCGGGGGTGGCAGTGGTGTAAAATGGAACCACCACCATGACCGAAGCAACGAAAACTTAG